AGGTCATGTGGCAGCATGACTGCATGGAGCGCTGCTACCTTCCCACTGGAGCAGTACCTATTGATCTACTCACATTTGCATGTTTTCAAACTGCTAAGTTGGCAGAAGCTGGGGCTGACAGCAGAAGCTCACGCCGCTCCCCGGATTTGAACCTGCAACCTTTTGGTCGACAAGCTCAGCAGCTCAATTGTTTAACCCACTGCGCCACTGGGGGCTCCCCTTCAAGTGCATACATGACTCAGATATTTAAACGGAACCACTGAATCCCAGCTTCGTTCCATTAATTGTTGTACCTGGGAGAAATGAACAGATAACTGTTGATGTTTCTTCTGTCTCTAAATGTATTCCCATCATCGTCTCAGTATTTCAATGGTCCTCCAAACATTTTGCCGTTCAGTTTATTTTATTTGTAGTATTTATATTCCACCCTTCTCACCCCAAAGGGGACTCAGGGCAGATCACAGAACATACATATCCAGCAAACATTCAGTGCCGTCTTATACAGTTATTTATCCCTTAAGAGCTTAAAGGTCCATCCTTTCCTTTAGGAAAAAAAACTGAAATAGTGGCTTTGGAACCAGGCTTTTGTCTAGCACGCATAACAGCACTTTGGACATTGAATTGGACCATATGATTGTTTTAATAATGGAAATGGCTATATGATTGTATAACTAATGTTATTGTTTTTAATCTAATGTGTATTTATAGTTTTATATTGTTGTTTACTGTGATATTTGTGGCATTGGATTGTTGCCAGTGTTAGCCACTCTGAGTCCCCCCTCAGGGGTTGAGAAGGGCAGGGTAGAAATGTTGTAAATAAATAAATATATAGGAAAATGTAACAGCCCTACAGACCACTGGTCTGTCCTAAAGTGTATTGGTAGCTTTACATACCAATACACTATAGGACAGACAGACCATCCAAAGAAAGTCCATCAAGGGGCCAAAGACTGTCATTTTGATTAACTCAAAGCATGTAGTTTCTCAAAGTTAACAATATGTTAGATTTTCAGCATTTGTTATTACATATCTAACGGGGTTATCATTAATGCTTTGGTGTCTGAATATAATTTCTAAGGTGTGTGCCTTTGCTATGAACACAGCATATTGGATATTTTTCAATGAAATTATAGCATACTAATCAGCATATATATTGCTTTTTATGACATAATGAAAAATCCAGCCACTATTCAATGAATTCATCATAGGGAGTAATTAGCTAGAAATTGTAGTGGCGTTCATGTAGAACAGAGACAAATCTTTGTTATCAGGTCAACTTTTTATATGGGTCAATACAAAACTAAGATTGTAAAAGATGTTTACAACGAATAGGAACCATATCAATGACTAACTAGATATCCTTCACATTTAGAGAAGAAACAGATGTCTTAAGCCTGAGAATATATCAGATGAAAGCATGATAATGGCCCATTACAGCAAGATTTTCTATAGATCTTACAGGGATGAGAGCCTTCTAGTGTAGATAAATCCTTTACCCCTCCCTAGACTTTATATCTGGGTCATGAAAGATGTTGGTTTATTGTTTATTTAAGCCATCTGTATTCATCCAACAGAGCGCAGAGTGGCAAAGAGCACGGCATATCTACACATTCCTGCAACCTGCGAGTACAAAGTGAAAGAGAAATAGATGGAAAAGCAGACAGGTCATTTTTCTTATTGGTCCTGCACAGTAGAGCAAGCCTGTGGAGTGGCAATCTTTTCTGTGTGCCTCAAAATAATCATTCTAAGGGAAGTTCAAGATGAAATTGAACACAAACTTTGGAATCTTTTAAAGCAATGCTTCTTAACCTGTGGATCCTTAGATGTTTTGGCCTTCAAATCCCCAGAAATCTGAACAGCTGGTAAGCTGGCTAGGATTTCTGGGAGTTGTAGGACACAACATCTGGCGACCCACTGTTTTAAAGGGTAATAATTGATACTTTTGTGTTTGAATGCTCCAGTGTGACTATAGATTAGATACAAGTCAGTTAAGTAGCTGTATTCCTAGCCTTTACTTCATTAAAAAATAATTTTATTAAGTATTACATAAGAATGACATAAAAACACATTACTACACAATATAACAAAATCTAAACACTAAAATAACAAAAAAGTTGACTTCCGTTCTTCTTCCTTATACCCTATAACACATTATATCACTGTAAATTCAAATATATATATATAGTTCTTCCTCAGTCTTATAAACAGATTTTCATTAGCCTTCTTATTTTACATAGTCCTCAAAAATTGTCCGTCATTTTAATTCCTTTCTCATTATTTTGTATGAGCAAAAATGTCAGTCTGTCCAGGTCTTTAATTTCCATAATTTCGTTTGTCCATTGTATCTTGGAAGGTATTGCTTCAAGTTTCCAAAGTTTAGCAAAATACATTCTGGCCACCATTGCAAAAAAAGGGGAATAATTTATCCACATTAGAATCTTTAAATGTTTCCGTATCAAACATTCCTAAAAGATAAAATTCTGGCTTCATTGTAAAGTCAATTTTCTTTAAAAATTGCATTCATTATGTATCATTTTCCAATACTCTATTGTTTTTTCACAAGTCCACCACATGTGGTAATAAGAGCCTTCCTGTAATTTACACTTCCAACATTTTTTATCAGCATTTTTATATATAATTCCTAATTTTGGGGGGTATGATGTACCAGCGGTGTATACTTTACTTCTTTAACAGAAAATTTGCCAAGCCAGGTGTATCTGCTCTCACCTTTTGTTTTGCTGTTCACACATGCCAAGGAAGGGACTCGTTTACCTTGTCTGTTGTAGGCAAGCATACATTGCTACAGTAGTGTAGAATCCCATCGTTTCCCAGTTTAAGTTTATTGCATTATTTAATACAACTCCATTACTGCAACTTCAAAAGTCTGTGGTTCTCTATGCTCACTTCATCATTATGCTGATGCTTCTAGAAAACATTCCTCTACAGCAGCTCCTCCAGGTGTTTTGAACGTCAACTCCTAGAAATCCCAGTCAAGTTACCAGCTGTTAGGAATTGTGGGAACTGAAGTCCAAAACATCTGGGGGAGCACAGTCTTGAGAAACTTTACTCTAAGTAAAGGATGAGTTGGAAAAGTGGCTGGGCATGTGTGAAAAGACTTTGTAAGAAGCTTTACTATCAGACTTTGTTGCTTTAGGTAAATCTGTATTTTTAAGATTTTACTAGTCTAGTACCCCATGATCTTTCTTGCTGACTTTTACATACTGAAGGTGCACACTTTCCAAGTACAAGTCCCATTGGACAGAGTAGGACTTTTTCAGTCATTCTGTATACAACTGCCCTGTTTGTTGCCACTTCCCCCCAAACACTGATTCAGGATTCTATTGTAAATTGTAGTAGAATATAATGCCATGCGGCTCTCTTCTTGAACCTGGAACGGGGGTCTATAGAACTAGAAATGTGTGGTTTAAATTATTCCAGTTAGCTAATCTCTTTGGCTAAAGAGCTTCACATATTCTCAGTGGAAATAGACACATGCCTCAAGAAAAGCAGAGGCTTTCAAGAAGAAAAGAGTGGACTCTCTCTTTAAGTAGCATATTAGAACCAGCTGGCTGCACAGCATAAAACTTTATTACCTACATCATGTTAAGTACATTCAATTACGGTGCTCATCTCCAAATAATGGAAGTGATAAGAGTAGGCGACCTTGGTAATTTGGGGAGCAATAAGACAGTTTGGGTAGTTTTATATTCATCCATCAGGTACATGCTTCCTTTGAGCATGAGTCACCCTGTTAGCTCTGGATATATCATAAAGGTATGTCATAGAATACCTAACCCTTCGGTAAAATCATTTGCCCTAAGAAAACACCCCACAGGACAAGATGAATTTTATTTAAGCAGCATGCTGCCTTTGCCAGAAGTCATTTCACAATTGTTACCATACTAAAAACATCTTAGCCTCCCATCCTATAAATACTCTTTTATTATTTCCTCCACCACCACCCACACAAAAAAAACTGCCCACCCTGGCTGTAACCATAATTCAGTTGTTAACTAGGGGGACACATTATATCTTGTAGGGCCACATACCACTTCCCTTGCAACAAAGAAAAAGGAGCAAATGTTGGCCACAATGGTTCTCTAAGGAGTAGGGGCCTTTTGCCATGATTTTAGGCCCAGTATATTTTTAAAGGAAATAAACAATATTCACTTCCTCTTTAAAAAAAAAAAAAGACTTGCAAAGAAAACCACATGCCATGTCCAACTGACAGCTGTGGGCAGAAGAACTGATCCCAAGACACACTGTGTTCATCCTGTTATGGATGAAAGTTGTGCCATACTCCTTCCTTACAATATTTACCTATTGCAGGTCACAACATAGAATGTGTTAATTTCCATCCTCATTGGCTCAAGCATCTCCATCCTCCCACAAGAGCCATGATTATATGTAGCTAGATGGATGTAAGCCAAAGCTCTTCACAGAGTGCTACTTTAGTATGTGTGTGTATATATATATATATATGTAGGCCATTTAAGCAAATACCTTTTCTATTTGTTAAATGCCATCCTTGTTTGCAACTGAAACGTTTATCTCACCCCACTTCTTCCTCTGCTCCAGGCTACTTTTTATTGTGACCAGAAAGGCGTCTTAACTAAAGGAAGTTCTCTGAATGTAATTTCAATAATGCTGAAAACAGCAGCTCTCCCATTACTGGGAAATACAGACAAGGAAAACACTAACTGCCTTGTTCAACGCAATGCTCACTAAATTGCACATTTAAGTCTGATCTACACAGTGATGTACCACATCAAAATGGCCACATGATGGTAGTGTGTAGCCATCTAAGAAGTTGTTTCTATCATTTCAAAAAATTACATAGCAATTTGCTATAAGAACATTAACATTCTATCTTACATGACCATTGTTGGCAAGTCCTGGCTTAGTATTTATTTCGGCCATGTTAAGAAAGATGCAAGATGATCAGCACGCAGTACCCTCCTCCCGGGTGGCAGGTTCCAAGAAAAAGAATGACCCTGCAGTTTGACACTAGCGAAAACACTCAATTACAGATGTTTTATTAATATACATATAAAGTAGCAGTCTTCACATAAAAGAAAAGGTCTGAATTGTCATTAACAAATTGGATGATACCATTTAGAGTTACAAAGTACCACTTTTGGGGCACTTTTTGCTAAACAGGCAAAATGGAAAGCAGACCACTTTGAAATCAATAAGCTTCCTTTTAACAGTCTCTAGGATTAGTTAGAAAGTAATATTACCATCCTGAGTTAGGAACTTCTATCAAATGACCCAAGTACTGTCTTAGACACTGAATGTTACCTATAATTTAAAAAAAAAACACTAACTAGTTATCCTTCTAAAATTCTGGTCTCTTGTACAATTCTAGGTCAAAAGTAAGAAACATCTAAATGCAACCTTAAGAAATGTTTCTATCATTCTAGCCCCCTCCACAAAATGAGTCCTTGTTTGAACTGTAAGTTTGTTACTGTGAAACTGATAAAAGTTTACCAGAATTCAATAAAAATAAAATCTTTTTCAATATTACAAAGGAGAGGGGAGATCAATTGTTATATCATCCAAGGTAAACAGGAAATCTTTAGTTGATTGCAGAGGATCTGACAGATTATCTGAAACAACATTTTAAAAAAACTCAAGTCACTATTTCAGGTTAGTTACATTCTAGTGGCTTTGATTGCTTTGAGTCCCAACGTCAATTTTCTTTCAAGTCCCCATTATATGCATTCACTTAGTCATCCACATTTTGTCAACTCCTGCTGAGAAGCCATCAAATTGCTTCTGCTCTATTTGCTCAAGTCAATCTTATTCTGCACCTTTTCAGTGCAACATTTCAAGCCTTAACTTTGAAGAAAAAAGATAAATACCATACTTACCATAGTCCCATGACATCAAAGGTTGGCTTATGGGTGCAGAGACTATACTTGTGAATTGGTTGGATGCTTTTTCAAACATCATGAGAGGAGCACCTGTCAGGGACATGTGGCTCAGTCTATGCTCCTCAGGAACTTCAAAACTTTCAAAGTCTGTTCAAATACAACATCAATAGTTTAGTGCCGATTTCCATTCCATTTTGAAATAAAGACACAGACAAGCCCAACCCAATAGTAATATCTAAAGTTTCATCGCTGTTTCACATTGTCCTATAGAAAAATTCAATTTAACACATCACATCAGCTTTGTCAGGTCAGCAATACCATATCCTGTCATCTGTATTTTTATATATGTAAATTAACCAGCTCTCACCACATTTTGCCAAGAAAGGTGAAGCTATACGTTTTAAAAGTTATTACCTAGAGGATCATAGGGAAAGAAATTCTCCTTTTCTAGACAGTTTTCTGGAATCATGCTACAGCCTTCAACTCGATTTGTACTCTTCGTAGCCTTGCAAAAATAAGGGGAAGTGGTTACAAAAGTTGCAAAAAGAGCTGGGTTATACAGTCAGTTCTCTACATTCATAGATACAAGAAAATGGAAAAACCATGACTATAGGAAAGTAAAGCTTCCTTCTGGAGCTGCCACAATGGAAAGAGATGTGCTGTGATGGGAGGAGAACCAATCTTTTGTTTCTTTCTGTACAATAGCTTGTGTTTTAATATTGCCATTTTATGTTAAGTGATAAGCATAGGTTCCATCCCCCTATTTTCACCTATGATTGAAGAAAAACAATGACATTTCCCAGATTGTTCCCAATTAACAGGATAAGCAAAGCAATTTGGGCCACAAGTCTCCCTTCCCTGGGTTTAATCCAAACTAAAGAATCCCCAACTATCTTTTATTGAGGCACTGCAAGGAAATAAAGTACACATAAAACACTTACTAGAACTATTTTACCCTTTTCCCAAAATAAATAGGTCAATCACTAGGCACCATGTGTATGTCTGACAGACTGGGGCACATCTTTGAATACACAACACAGCTTGGCTATTATGTTGCGGTTGAGATTACTGTGAGATTTTCACTTTAATTTATACTAAAACAAGCTTTGACATTAGCATTACTGTTCTGTTTCAGAATGAGAAGAAGCCCTACAGCACCTTTTTTGCAGGTAACTTCTTTTCCATAGAAACCAGTTTTGTTGCTGACAAAGGCTTATTCACATTTCCAAGGGCCTTCCTGGCTGACTGAGAGTTCGCATTCTTCAGATTGACATTTGCTGTCCTTCCAACAAGTGGAGTCTTAGGATGAGACTTTTCACCAAATATCTTTGCTGCAGAAAGAAAAAAGCATCCAGCATGCTTAAGATTCAGTTTCAACATCTTTTCATTGATTATATGTAGTATGGCATCAGACAGGTGAACAAATTACACCATGTAAGAAAATCTGGAAAAAAATCTGCTCCTGGTTTGAAAGTGTTATTTCTTGTTTAACTGTGCAGTCCTTACTTTGAAAGTAGTTGTTATACTCCAGAAACTTCCTTTCTAGAGTTTCTTGCCACAAACTATTTTGAATTGGTTGAGACTCTATGAGATAGTTATTAAAAAGCTATAGCAAAATGTGCTGCAGGATGTCCCGCAAAAACAAAGGTTTTGCAGTTCAATAAACTCGTTCAGATTTTTATGGTAGAAACAATGAGAAAATGGCATTTATAACCTAGGAACAAAATAGTGTTTCTGATTGTTATAACTATCAATTTTGCCATCAAGGAAGATAACTGTGTTACAATCCAGTTTCCAGAATGCTACTGTAGAGCAGAGCTCCTTAAGCATTTCCACTTAGGACCCATTTTAGACTAAGATATTTTTACATAAGCTCAGATATATAAATAAAATAAGCATAAAAATCATTTCCAAGGATTGCTAAATAAGTTGATTTTCTTTTATTAAGAACAGCTGAAGAATTTTCTGCAGTCCACTGTAAACAACACACAACTGATTTGTATAAAAGTCTAAAACTGCTACTAAGGTCCAAAAGTCAAGAGATTGGGGGGGGGACCCCGGGTCAGCTCCCAGCTTCATCCCCTTACCATGGTGGGTCACAGGCTTTCATCCCACAACATTTCCCTACTGTCCCTGGTTTCCTCTTAGCATGTTGCCAGGACGGAGCCCCGATGCTAGTAGCACTGTGTCATATGATGGGCTCCGGCAGCGTGCTAGGACAGGTAAAAAACCCCGCCTGATGAGGTCATAAGTAATATTCAGAAACCTTTGACTGTTGCCAAATTTTTCAGGACTATTTAGGATAAGGGCCCACAGTTTAAGGAGCAGTGCTCTAGAGCAATTAATACAAGCACTGTAGACCTCACAACCTGACCAGGTGAAAGCCTAGTGGGGGAAGAAATCTTCCAACTCTGCTCAGGTGTTATGACTTGCAAGGGAGAAAGTTCTAAGTGTGAAGTACTACTGGAAGCTTCCTCATTGAAAGGCAACCAATTAATAGTATGTGTCCCTTCTATCCATTTTTTTCTTCCTTTGCTTGTTCAAAGTTTTCTTTCTAAAACATTGTCTTCTGCTCATTGCTACTCTTTACATAAAAGCTTCACTAACTCCTTTTCAAGTATCTTCTTAAAACATATGTTTATATTCCATCAAGGAACTCAAGATACTACACACAGGGTTCCCCAAAAGGAACATATTCAACAACTGATCAAACCCTCACTACAATTCAGTAATGTGGCTGCTTATGAAATGTGCCCAGAGATTAGCAATTATGTACAAGATGCGAAAAATAAATGCATAGCTGACTACGACAAAGAATGAGAGTAACCACAGGGTGAGTAAGAACTCGCTCATTAAAGTCACTAGTACTTTCAAGCAAAGGGGCATATTAGTTCTTTTATACCGGCTTTACATTTGAATTAATGCATACTCACAAGGTGCTGGTAGGGTTCTGAGTCGATTCTTAGAGGCAGTAACAATGCCAGCATCACCATTTTCTTTGTCTATGTATATGCGCGTTGCCATTCCTTTTGCATCAGATGGTCCTAAAATAGACACCACAGCTGTAGTAGCAGATCCTATATTGCTCATGTAACAATGCCCCAAAAATACAACAGGAAACATGTTCTCTCAAGAACACCCAGTCAAGCTTCTTGGAGTGAAGACAAACATTATTAGTTTGACACACTGTTTAAGACTTGTGAAGCTTCCTTCTACTGAGCTGGGACAAACACTACAGTATTTTATATAAGGAATTTTAAAAACATTCACTGCTCTCTAATCCAGGCATGGGCAAAGTTTGGCCCTCCAGGTGTTTTGTACTTTAACTCCCACAATTACTAACCGCTGGTTAGGAATTCCAACCGGCTGTTATACATTGTGGGAGTTGAAGTCCAAAACACCTGGAGGGCCGAACTTTCCCCATACCTGCTCTAGTCACTTGCATCAGAAAAATAAAAGCTCACAAGTTCATCAGTGTGGTATTTAAATATTTAATTAAAATTTGAACTCTATATAAATAAAAATGGAATGTTCGTTTGTGGGATTAACATAACTCAAATACCACGGGATGAATTGACACCAAATGTGGACACACTACACCTATCAGGCCAAGGAGTGACCATCACTCATAAAACACTGAAAAACACAGCAGAAGGGGCTTAAAAAGCCAGAAAAAAAATACATTACAACGCATTTGCATAACCACATACATACACACACAAAACACATATACACAGACTGGGCCACAGCAAGGTGTGGCAGGGGATGGCTAGTACTTAATAAAAGTAAATTTGCAAACAGAGCAATTTTTTTTCAAAAGCGATTAAAAAAATAAAGCAGAAAAGTCTTGAAAAGGTACGATGTTCAAGGGTTTGTTGTTTTAACTTATTTGAATACTTTCCATGAACCAGTGGTTTCAACAGTCTCAAGATTTTTTTTTCAAAAAAGTTAGTTATTTACTAAGGCCAACAACATGCACGCCGACATTTTGGGCTTATTTGACACAGTTTCTTCTGTCTGGAGCTACTCACCCAAACTACACTCTCTGGAAGGCAACCAATTGCAGTAACACAGCCAAACAACACCAGTCTATCCTGGTTGAGATCTTTTGGAAGGAAGCTTCAACCAACAGGAAACAACTAGGAATTAAAGCAAAAACACAAAACCATAAACGTTTATCCTTGGTTCCTGGTACATTATTAATTATATCTTACTTTTAATTATGCTTATAATATCATACAAAATAAAGGTGCATTCCTGAATCTCAAAGCATTAAGCAGCATTCCATTTAAAAAACGACAGCCCACATGAAGAGAAAAACACCTGCAAACCCCACTTATGAATCCCAACCCAACCCAACCCACCGTGCCTTCAAAGTGAGTTCATAGAGTTCAGTCTAACAGGGAACTGTTTTTAAAATCGTTAACGTCGTACGTCATTGGCTGGTTCCCATCCTCGCGGGACGCTAGCAATCCTGATTGGCTGTTTTGCAAAACCAACAGCAGCAGAGAAGAAGGGCGCGAGCGGAGTTTGCGCAGTCGGGAGTAAACCTCGGACAATACTGTAGGTGTTACTTGCAGGATCCAGGCTACATCTACAGCGTGGAATTCACACCGTTTGAGATCCCTTTAAGCGCTGTGGCTCAATGGTATGGAGTCATGGGAGTCGTACTTTGGCAAGGCATTCCTTGGCAGAGAAGGCTAAGGGCCCTGGAAAACTACATCTCCCCTGGTTCCATAGCATTGCGCCATGGCGGCCATAGTGGTGTCAAACTGCATTCACCCTACAATGTAGATGCACCTTAGCAGATGCTGGCCTGTGCTGCAATACAGAGAGAGCACCCTACAGTGCCGCTTTGAAAAGTTAATTTTGGGTGCATCTACATTGCAGAATTAATGCGGCTTTGATACAGCTTTAGCTGCCAGGGCTCAATGCTATGAAATCCTGGGAGTTGTAGTTTTACCTTCTCTGCCCAAGGCTGTTGCCTCACCAAGCCACAAAACCCCAGGATCCCATAGCCATGGCAGTTAAAGTGGTCCCAAACTGCATTATTTCTACAGCACAGAAGTGGCCTTTTTGGATTGCAAGTCCCAGAATCCCCAAGCCAAGCGTGACCAAGGGCAGTTTGAGGAATGCTGGGAATTGCAGCCAAAAACACAGCTGGTACATAAGGACATTGAAAGGGCCCTAAGGCCCTGCCATACAATCCAGATTATCAAAGAGAATACACATCTGCTTTGAACTGGATTATATGAGTCTACACTGCCATATAATCCAGTTCAAATAAAAAATTGGATGTTATATGGCAGTGTAGAAGGGGCCTAAGGGAGTTGTGCCTCAGGGCCCTTCCACATAGCCCTTCCACATAGCCATAGCCCTTCCACATAGCCATAAAACCCAAAATATCAAGGCAGGTAATCCACAATATCTGTTTAGAACTGGGATATCTGAGTCCACACTGCCATATAATCCGGTTCAGTGTGGATTTTATACAGCTGTGTGGAAGGAGGCTCAGGGCTGTCCTGAAGGGGAGATATGATTTCCCTTCTCTGCAAAAGGCTGCGAAATCTCTCAAATGACCCAGCTGCCCAAAAGGAAGAGCCCAGCGCTCTACCTGTCACCTCCCATTCTGTGGCATTCTGGGGCTTGTAGTTCAGCGAGGCCCAAGAAAGAGCTCTCTAACTGGGAGTCCTTAGTGTCCTTCGCTAGACTATAAATCCCATGATTCCATTGGTCTGTTGCCATAGTAGTGCTCTAGCTATGGCTCTGCAGGTTCTTAAACCCAATCCTTTTTTTTCCAAGCAGCCATTCACTCTCTGCAAAGTGAGCGCTGGGCAGCTGATTGGGAAGGATCCCTTGCTTCGGAGGTGAATTGAGTTCTATCCCTTTAAGAAAAAAAAGGAGGAGGGGCGAATAGGGCCGCGCGCTGCATTATCGGAAACGGAAGTGAGGCCTACTTATTGTCGTCGCCTCAGTAAAGCGGAAGGAGTGAACGCCTTCGACTTTTGGGTGAGTCTGAGGGGCTTTTCCTGGTGTTTCCGGAAGCGGAGAGTGTTTTTGTATGTGTTGTGGTGTGTCTTCCCCTGGGATCTCAACTCCTCCTTCAAACTACCTTTCAATTACACTTGTTTACACAACGGACGTAATCCCTCGCTCTTGTTGTTGTCCAGTCAGTTCTGATTTATGGCGACCTTAAAGCGAATCTGTCACAGGATTTCTTGGCAGGAGTTCATCAGAAGGGGCTTGACTTTGCCTTCCTCTGACGTTGAGAGAGTGTGACTGCTCCGAGTCCACTTGGTGGATTTCTAGGGTTGAATAGGGATTGGAATTGGTCTCCAGCTGTACTGTAGAATTGATGCAGTTTGACACCACTTTAACTGCCATGGCTCAGTGGTATGGAATCCTGGGAGCTGTTGTTTTGTAAGGCTTCTGCACTCTGACAGAGAAAGCCAAAGACCTTGTCAAACTACAGATCTCAGTGAATTTGGTGTAATAACACCAATCCAACAGTGTAAATACATCCTATGTTGCCATAGGTTTCCACTATTTATTTACCAACCCAGAGGCAACTCGAGGCGGTTTACAGTCGGCAGCCAATGCTCCCAAACAACATAAAATACAGTTAAAAGCAAGGCTGTTGCCTCACCAAGCAACAAAACCCCAGGATCCCATACCCATGGCAGTTAAAGTGGTCTCAAACTGAATTATTTCTACAGTACAGAAGTGGCCTTCCCTATAGTCATGTAAAGTTAGAACCATCTGCTGCAACACCGGATGGGAGTACCATATTGTTTGCAGCAGGGATCAGAAACAGAATGCTCTCCATGAAACCACAGTAGGTATACCTTGCTTTGGTATTTAGTTCCTCTATATTTGTGTGTTTTATTTGTCAATATGTATACTGTCCAGATGTCCTAAAGATGCCAGATCCCATCTGGTCTTGGAAGTTAAGGAAGAACTCCAGCCCCAATTAGGACTTGAATGGGAAAGCAACATAGTAATGTCTACACTCTTAACTGTTTAGAATTCTAGAAGAAAACCTATTCCTGACCAAGAGTCTTCCTTAATTTATAGCTTTTTATCACCTGCCATTGATTCTGAAAGACCTCAAAACATAGTGGAAAAACCTAAATGTGGATATGTGTGTGCCTTTAGGTTGATTTATATTGATTTATGGTATCAAAACTGCATTAATTCTATAGTGTAGATATACCCAGGGACAGGATAGTTGAGTTTTTTAAGCAGCATATGTACTTAGTGTCTCAAACATCTATTTATAAAGGAATTTTTAGAAAGTATCACAAGTGTAATTATGAACTTCTCGGCTCTGTTTCTTACCACAGTCTCCTTCAATAGCTGTCAAAGGGGCTAGTTAATGCTATAGTAGTAGTTCTCAACCTGTGGATCCACCGATGTTTTGGCTTTCAACTCCCAAAAATCCTAACAGCTGGTCAACTGGCTGGGATTTCTGGGAGTTGTAGGCCAAAACACTTGAGGACCCACAGGTTGAGAAGCATTGCTCTATATAGAGCATTCTTCCCTAAACTAGCTAGGAGGAATTGCTGGAAAGAAAACCATAAGCAGCAGGTAAACATATGCAAATGTGGGCAGTCATAAGCATACTAAATATGCTACAATTTGTTTTACGGTGTAGATTTCTTTAATCATAATCTTTTTTTAAACAGATAGTAAATATTTTTTTAAAAAATTACAAAGCTTTTACGCTTAAATTAATCCTGACCTATAGTTTCTTTTGCATCTTTCAAAAACTTGACTGTTCAGAACATCAATTATGGTTGTTGCTATTGTTTTAAAAATTGTACTATTATATTCTGTGTCATGTCGGCAGAATATCTACTATAGGAGCATATAAAAGTGTTTCACATAGGATCACATGACTTAACCAAGCATAGTAGCTTAGATACTAAATAAGCTTATGTAACTAGCAGAACTGTAAAACAGAGGTCTTTCCATCCCTGGTGCTTCAGTTCCTTGCAGTTGGAAATGTATAGTAAACATATAATACAGTTCTCAAGATGTTGTTCTTCTCAATTAAAAACAGTTTCAAATGCCACATTGGCCAGTACTTAAAGAAAGTTCTTCAGTTGTTGTTTAGAACAAATAAATGCTAGTTAGTTCAAATAGATGAGGGAAAATTAAAACATTGTGGAGGTGATTGTGAAACTATTATCCCAGAGAATAATATTATTATTATTTTAATTGTAATGCCAACACAAAAGTAAGAAACCCATTAGAAGTGTTAACAACCTTCTCAAATGACAAAATACCAACATCTCAAATGTTTAGTAGTTTACCTAGATAGAAGGAAGTTCATTTATTTCAATAACAGCAATAAATCTTATTGGAAAGGTAAGTGCTATGCCTTAAGCTATTGTATAAGGCATTTTAACCATTCTTAACCTCTATTCATTTGTTTATCTGTGTAGGTTACTAGAAAAAAGACTATGGAATCTGGGAGTATGGAAACGATAGCTACTAACCCTCCTGGTGGAGGTTCAAATGGCTTAGAAGAACCTAAGAAAATGACAAGAGAGGATTGGAGAAAGAAGAAGGAGTTGGAAGAACAGCGAAAATTGGGCAATGCTCCAGCTGAAGTGGACGAAGAGGGAAAGTAAGACTTGTATAATTTGCTAAATACAGCATTTCCTGCATCTCTGCCAACCAGTCCCTGTGTCCTTCAAAAATTATGCATATTTTATATTTTTAGGAATCCCTTCTCTGCTATTTTGGAGCTATAACTGAGAAATAGATTGCATCATTGTTTATTTTTAACATTTGGCCTTGTTGCAGCCAGGGACTAAAGAAACAAATGAAATGGCTGTCTTTCACATTGTTGATTCTTCATTACACTTTATAGAGCAAGAAGGCAGTTGAGAAATGGAGAGATTTTGGAACGTGGGTTTTGTCAGTTTTTGAATCTTAAATCTTGTGAGTTTTAAAACCTTTGGTGAAGATTTTGGTGTAGTATTTCTCTGTTGATGCTTGTTAGGTTCAGTGAAGCTTACTTTATTTGCTATACTTGTATACCGCCGTTTCTCAGCCTAGCCGGCGACTCAACGCGGTTTACAACAACTTATAACAACAACAGTATACAGTTTAAAAGCATAAAAACACGATCCACAATACATATATCAATAAACAATCCAATTCATCTCTTGACTAAAATCGCGATCCAGTTTCGTCGTCCAAATTGCCAGTCCTTCAATCATTACACTTATTGCACTGAGTTAACCAAACGCCTGCTCGAACATCCAGGTTTTTAGTCTTTTCCGGAAAACCATCAATGAGGGGGCTGATCTTACCTCCATGGGGAGGGCGTTCCATAGCTGCGGGACCACCACAGAAAAGGCCCTGTCTCTCGTCCCCGCCAGCCGCACCTGTGAAGCAGGCGGGATAGAGAGCAGGGCCCCCCCAGAAGATCTTAGGGTCCTGGTGGGCTGATAGGCTGAGATACGTTCGGATAGGTAAGTTGGGCCAGAACCGTTTAGGGCTTTAAAGGCCAGCGCCAGCACTTTGAATTGAGCCCGGTAGCAGATCGGCAGCCAGTGGAGCTGGTGCAGCAGAGGAGTTGTATGCTCCCTGCGCTCCGCTCCAGTTAGTATCATGGCTGCCGAGCGTTGGACTAATTGGAGCTTCCGGGCCGTCTTCAAAGGCAACCCCACGTAGAGAGCGTTGCAGTAGTCTAAACGGGATGTAACCAGAGCGTGGACTACCGTGGCCAAGTCAGACTTCCCAAGGTACGGGCGCAGTTGGCGCACGAGTTTTAACTGTGCGAATGCTCCCCTGATCACCGCCGAAACCTGGGGTTCCAGGCTCAGCGATGAGTCCAGGATCACACCCAAGCTGCGAACCTGCGTCTTCAGGGGGAGTGCGACCCCATCCAACACAGGCTGTAACCCTATACCCTGTTCGGCCTTACGACTGACCAGGAGTACCTCTGTCTTGTCTGGATTCAATTTCAATTTGTTCGCCCTCATCCAGACCGTTACAGCAGCCAGGCACCGGTTCAGGACCTCGACAGCCTTCTTAGTAGCAGGTGGGAAGGAGTGACAGAGTTGGACATCATCTGCGTACAGATGACATCGCACTCCGAAACTCCGGATGATCTCACCCAGCGGCTTCATGTAGATATTAAACAACATGGGAGACAGTATTGAACCCTGAGGAACCCCACAAGACAAAGGTTGTGGGGTTGAACAGGAGTCTCCCAGTAACACCTTCTGAGACCGGCCCTCGAGGAATGAGCGGAGCCACTGTAAAACAGTCCCTCCAAGACCCATTCCCGCGAGGCGTCCCAGAAGGATACCGTGGTCGACGGTATCGAAGGCCGCTGAGAGGTCCAGCAGCACCAACAGGGACACACTCCCCCTGTCGAGCTCCCGGCGCAGATCATCCACTAAGGCGACCAAGGCTGTCTCGGTACCATGCCCCGGCCTAAAGCCAGACTGTGCCGGATCCAGATAATCCGTATCTACCAAGAATGCCTGGAGTTGTGAGGCCACCACACGTTCCAAGACTTTGCCCAAAAAGGGGAGATTGGAAACAGGCCGAAAGTTGACGAATTGAGTGGGGTCCAGTGATGGTTTTTTCAACAGCGGTTTTATTACAGCTTTATTACAGGTTTTATTACTTTCCAGTATATATGTGCAGAACTGGAGTGTGTATCAATAACCCTCCTCCTAGTGCAAACACTGACAATTTATCTTTTCTATGTGAAGTATCTCTTCACATAGGTCTCTTCCAACTCAACGATTCTATGGCCACTTCCATGTTGCTATCTTGGGATACTTGGGAGAGCAGTCATTTTCCCCTAATATAGAAGTTAATCATTCTCAAATCTTGATCACATCAGACAAAAGTTTGGCAACAACTGAAGTGACACTGGGATTCTTCTAATAACAACAATATAATCCTTGTGGAGCTCTCAATGACACCTGGGACAGCACATGCAACCATAGGGAATAGCTGGAGACTTATCTGGCTTTTGTCCTGGTCTTCACCAATATATAAATTGCTATCTTTGATGGGAGAGGGGCTGCCGCATTAAAGATATGTGTTCAGGTGGATTTTGGTCATTGTGTAATTAGAACAGAATTCTGACCTCAGCGACCCAAAATGGATTATGACAATGATGGTAATGGTATGAAGTGGACTCACATCGCAGTAACTCACAACTTTTCAGCCAAATGTTTTCTTCAATAATTTTCCAAAATTGGATTATCTGAGTCCACACTGCCATATAATCCAGTTAAATGTGGATTTTATACAGCCTTGTGGAAGAGGCCTAAGGCATTCTCAAAAATTTAAAGGCAGTTTCTCCGACCTTGTAAAGCAGCAAGATGTTTTAACAGTAGCACTGCCTTGCTTGTTCCTTCAAAAGTAAGTCCTACCATTTGAATGAGCATCCTCCCCAGTAAGCATATAGACTGAACAATTTTCTGAGCAGTGTTTTTCTTTCAATTTCAGGGACATCAACCCTCATATTCCTCAGTACATTTCTTCAGTGCCCTGGTATATTGATCCTTCCAAAAGGCCCACACTGAAGCATCAGCGACCTCAGCCAGAGAAGCAGCAGGAATTTACATTTTTGGGGGAATGGTACAAACGAGGAGTCAAAGAGGTAGGTCACAGTGTGTAGTAAGGGAACAATAAGACACTAAAATATGAACATATGCTCTCTCCAGCTTGCTGTATGGGTTTTTTAACTCATTCTTGGCATTCAAAAGATTGATTTAGATGGTACTTTGTCATGTGTCCCAAGTACAAATGTTGTAGAATAATTTTAGAGCAGATGGTTGTTGGGTGATATTTCTAGCTAAAGATATAATTGCATGCAGATAGCATTTTAGCACAATTGAATTTGTATAGCCAAGCTGTTGCTTTTTGGGGTCACATTGGCATTGTCATTTCTTTCATTGTCAGGAGGGGAAAACTGAATGTACTGTTGCTTTGAAATATTCATATGTGTTTCTTTTTAGAATTCTGTGGCAACTAAATACCGCAAAGGAGCTTGTGAGAACTGTGGTGCATTAACACACAAGAAAAAAGATTGTCTGGAGGTAAACATTAGAAGTTGCTGTTTCTCGTTTAATTGGTTTAATCACCCTGCAGATATCAACATAAAGTACTAGTATCAAGTTTAATCACAGACCTAGTGTTAATTTAAAATAGTTGTTAAAATGTTCTTACTTTTGAATGCTGTTGCTTGTCTTAGGCTCCCGATCACTATTCTTTTAAAAGTAGCTTCTATAAACAAAAATCATGACAACATATGATGGGAAGGCCAACAGCCACATTCCAATTCCTATCTGGATAGGAATCTGGGGAAGCAGAAAGTATCTTTTGATTAAAATAGAGAAGTATAGTTTTTCACATTTAAAAATAAACTTAAATCAACTAAAGCAAACTGTTTGACTTAATGGGAATCAGGTGAATGTTGACTTACCATTCAGCAACTGATTCAGTTGCTGTACACTAGTTGGTCAACAATTTTAAAAAGACCAAGGAGTTTCCCCAGAAGAATGCCTCTTTGAGCTAGACTATTAAGTATCACAAATCCAAAGGATGAACCTTACCCTATTGTTTTGACAGACAGTAGAAAACACTTTCTCTTCAAGAAGGCAGTTGATCACTAAATGTTTTGTTACATGATGGCTGAAATAATACCTTAAGAAATGGACCAGCACAGTATTATACCACTTCCCTTTGGGCCTCAGGACCAATGACCTTTATGCTCCTGTAATAGATTGTTTTTCCTGGAAGAACTGAAGCTTCTACCCTCTGATGATGAAAAATCAAGCATATTCTTGTATATCATTCCAGTGGTGTTGACACTTCCATGTATACTGGATAGATTGACAGACCACATAGTTATCTTATCATGCCAGAGTTAACGTAGCCAGTGATCACTTGCTTCTGAAGGAAGCATATTTTGCATGTTCCCCATGTCATTTACTTATCTCTATAGCTAGCAATGCAGTATGAATGCTGATCACATGGAAACCACAAACACATAGCCAGTGAAAAATATTAGCTGTGATATGGGTACAGAAGAATGTGCAGAAGAGATAAATTCAGTATTGTGTGATACTTGAAGAGGATAGTTATTGTTTCATTGTGCTCTAACATCAGACTTCAGTAATAATGTGTCCAGTTCCATTCCAAATCCAGAGATAGATTTGGGTTATATTTTGCTCCCTACAGAGACCTAGAAGAGTAGGAGCAAAATACACAGGAACTAATATTGCCCCAGATGAACATGATCAGCCTCAGCTGATGTTTGATTATGATGGGAAACGAGACCGATGGAATGGCTACAATCCAGAGGAACACATGAAAATTGTGGAAGAATATGCCAAAGTTGATCTAGTAAGTAGGTGTTACTTTCATAGAGATTACTAACTGATGCACCTGTTGAGCAGGGTTAACATGAACCAACACAAAAATACAGTAACTTGCTTTTGTACACAACATTTAATTAACTCTTGTTCACTTACACAGATATGAAAACAATTGTAGTAATCTTATACTGAATGAGACCCATGCTCAGTATTGTCTCCACTGATGGGCAGCTTTCCAGAATTTCAGACATGAGTCCTTCCATCTTTTCTGAAGATGCCATAGACTTCATCTGAGTTCCACCCTAGAATCAGTAAAATTGATAACTTTGCATTTTAGATATATTAGATAGTAGTAGATGATATTATCCGTAAACTGATTTTTGGTTTGCATGCTATAGATGTAATGTTAGCTCTTGTAGAAGATTCTCTCCACAATGCATATTTTATCATCTTTAATAATGATTCAACCCTAATTGTGTTCTGAGGTTAATTATTGCGACAGTTCCCTTGAAAACCACAAGTTGGAGTTACACTTCAATTCCCTGAAATTATTCCCAAGTGTCAATGAACTTTCTGGACACAATAAGGAAATGAGGAGAATTTGGCAGAACTCTGTTGAAAAGAATGTGCTCAAACATTTTTTGGGTCAAAGCCTCAGTTTTGAAAGAATGTAGTTTCAACTGACTACAGAATGCATATCATTGTTAACCAAAACCTTGGTAAATCAAGGAAAGGAAGGAAGGGTAGTTTTCAGATCAAATATCTAGTGAAGGATACACTCTAAAGACAAACCACTACTAAATGAAACATGGATTTTTCTCCTCCGCTAACGACTGATGATTCTGGAGTGTCTAAAAGCAATCCTGTGAAGTGTCTTATTTGCATGTGGATAGTAATCCTGGTTTCCTTTTAATAGGCTAAACGTACTTTGAAAGCACAGAAACTGCAGGAAGAGCTTGCTTCAGGGAAACTGACAGAACAAGTGGTAAGTGAAGTGGTAGGAAGGGAAAATATTTTTGAGAAAGTAGCATTAATAATGAACTAGCATTTTAATTTTGTTGTTGATTACTTTCGTGGCCAGAATCACTAAGTTGCTGAGAGTTTTGTGGGCTGTATGGCCATGTTCCAGAAGCATTCTCTCCTGACATTTTGCCCACAACTATGGCAAAACATCAGGAGAGAATGCTTCTGGAACATGGCCATACAGCCCAGAAAACACATAACATTTTTATTGTCTCATTAAAATTGTATCTTTATCATCACTAATTTGTTAACAATCCATAGTTTAGGAATATATTAATATTTCAACTTGATTGTCAAAGCCATTTATTTAAAAGTGCAGGTATGCAATATTTTATTTTTTAAGCTTGAGAAACTAATCAACTTGAAACAAATCCTGTCCATAAGATTCTCTTTCTTTGGAACATCTTGCATCATTAAAATTCAAGCTGGTAGCCTATTTTCCATTGCCTTTTAAATTGCTCTACATGTATTTTCTTTAAATAGCAGATTTACTCCATCTCAGAAAAGTTATTCTTCTTAATTTCTCCCACAACTTTGCCAATACGTTTGTGTTTTTGGCTACAGAACTCCCCACGACATCGATGGGATGAAGAAGAACCAAATTCACAGACGGTGAGTAATGTGTCCCCTAAAAACTGGTTTTGGGCTTACTATATCATGTTCTGGGGTTCTTTGCTGTCTTTATTTGTAATATGTTGCTATTCTTTCAGTTGCCTTCCACTCACTGGGTAGTTGGAGTCAGGTTTAGGAAAAAAATTGTATCCAGTTCTGGTACTCCTGGCCTGAGAAAATCTGTGGTTCAACACTAACATTGTCTTTGGCAAATCAAATCATATCATACCTTTCAAAGCTTGGATCCACCATTTGTCTCCCACAGGCAATAGGGCGCTTTCATGCATGGACACCTTGTGATCTAATAATCATTTCTGCTTGTGAGATAAAGGAAGCAATATTTATTGGTTCCACTCTCCTCCTGCACTTGTCCTCTGTGTTCTCTGAAAATTTATTTTGAAGGTTTAGAGCAAGAGTTTCCCAAACTGTGTCATGACACGTTAGTATGTTGGCTGTAGTGTGTAGGTATGTTGCATGAATGTAACAAGAAATCTCTAAGCCTATGTGAAATAAGCAGTAAAACATATATTTCTAAAAATATAAATGAAAGATTTTCATTGCATATGTTGTGTCCCCATATATTTCATTATTACAATTTATACATGAGTCCATATCTTTTATAAGGAGTTGGTTTAACCTCTGGTATGCTAGTAATACTGAATTACTGTGTCACAAAATATTGCATGTCTAAAAAATGTGTCACAAACATGAAATGTTTGGAAAGCTCCGTTTTGGAGGATCCCTAAGGAGCAGGGAAAGATGGTCCAACTGGATTCAGAGTGGCTAGAATTTCGTCTTTCCTCCTGGAGCTATCCAGAATGTCCCCTCCAACAAACATTGTATCTAACCTTATTATAATCACCATATGTACGCTGATTCTTATATCACTGTGTTCTCATTTGAAGAGTATTTAGACAACAATGTTTACTCTTCGATTAATAAAACCACAGAGATAAGTAACAGCCATTACATAGGAGGTCAGCTGCATGAACACTGCCTCCCTGTCACTCTATTGCTTAATATATCTCACTGTTTTTCAGGAAAGAGATCATAACAGTGAAGGAGAAGATGAGGACAAATATGCAGATGACATTGATATGCCTGGACAAAATTTTGATTCCAAAAGGCGCATTACTGTCCGAAACCTTCGTATTCGAGAAGATACTGCTAAAGTAAGTGAATGCATATAATTTCTTACTATAATTTTTATTGCAAGCTAAAATTACTGTTACTATAGAGGAAGTAATGAGAACAGGTATTTCTCAATGAGTGCTGTTTCTTTTGCTGCCGCCACAGAAGCACAGACACAATACATGCTGTAAAAGCACTGAGACAGCTTCTGATAAGTTCCTTCTCCATCCTTCCCAGAAGCACTGGGAATAAAGAAAAAAAGAGAGTCTTGGTAAAGCCATTCCTGGATTGGAAGCTAGAGATGTCAGTCACTCAACAAGTCCATGGCATTTGTCTTATATGGAGATCATAGAAATAATATATCCATTTTGGAACAATGCATTGTCTATTTTTGGCCCCATCTACACTGCCATTTTTTGCAATTTCAGAATAGACTTTAACTGCATTGACCTGGATTATATAACAGTGTGGACTCATGTCATCCAGTTAAACTGCATTCTGAAACTGCATTATATGGCAGTGTAGACGAGAGCCTCAGTATTCCACTGAATTGATCCCTGAGTTTTGACAGGAGCCTATTGAGATCAGCCTTTAGTGGAGGGCTGAGCTTCACTTTGAACAAGCTCTTAATTTCTCCATTGGAGGTAAGGGACTTCTGGATTCATGCAGAGAATCGACACCACTAGTAAAAATGGAATTTAATTCAAAATAGGGGGAGTGGAATTTGCTTTATTGTCACTTGAAAGAAAATGCTCTGGTCTTCATGCATAGCTGTAAAGTTAAATCTCTTTCTTTTAATGGGCTTTATAAAAATGTGCAAGGGGTAAATTAAAATTGCCTCCAGGTAAGTACAGATAAAGCCCATTTACTCGTCCACCATACTTCCTGCCTGCTTGTATATGGAATTATTCTAAGAGGATTTCATGGTAGATAAACTGCAGCTATCAGAAATTGCATTGCCTTTTTTTGTGAGAGAGAGAGATCAAAAAGAACTGTAGCTCCTTTTTTCTCTTCTGCAGTAGAGCATACCTTCTAAAACAGCTGAATGGTACCTGGTTAATGTGACATAGTAACTTATTGCAGGACATTGGAGTGCACCCCATTTTAAAGAGCCTGGGTACATATTAAGATATTGGGATGACATTTTAACCACTAGGTGTCACTTCTTAAGAAACATTTGGGAATATTTTGAGGAACCCTTTCTTTGGATGAATTGTGATTTCAGAATAATTGTGTTCTGCAGAATTGTGTCATCTTATCAAAATTGCAGTCATATTTTCTGACCCAGTGTTTCAAGTCAGCATTCTCATGTTTTTACAGTACTTGCGGAATCTAGACCCCAACTCTGCCTACTATGACCCCAAAACCAGAGCAATGAGAGAGAATCCGTACGCCAATGCAGGGAAGAATCCAGATGAGTAAGTCTATTATTAGTTTGCTTCAGTAATTTAATAAAGGGGATATGTTATGGGTTGGACTGTTCCTTTAGCACACGGCCATTACCACCAGTTATATTAATGGAAGGATCTCAGCAGGGTGTGTGTGTGTGTGTGTGTGTGTATACATATACATACACACACACACACACACAGGTGTGTGTATCTGTATCATGTGTGTCTGTATGCACATTTGCACACAAAGACCATTTCAAGCTCCCACTTCCTCCGGACTGTCCCTCCAAGTGCTACTTCTATTAGTTATGCCAGACATGGGCAAACTACAGTCACCCGGGTGTTTTGGACTTCAACTCCCACAATTCCTAACAGCCTACTGGGTGTTGAGAGCTAGTCACATATATTGCTTATTAAGCCATTTTCACATTTCTGTCAACATGGAAATTAGTCCTTCTAGTTCAGTGGTTCTCAACCTGTGGGTCCCCAGATGTTTTGGCCAACTCCCAGAAATCCTAACAGCTGGTAAACTGGCTGGGATTTCTGGGAGTTGGAGGCCAAAACATCTGGGGACCCACAGGTTGAGGATCACTATTCTAGTTAAAATACCGTATAAGAAATACAGCGAATTCGAATGCTGTGTTATTAACAAGCAAAAAAAATCTCTTACTGTGATATTATAATCAGTAGGACAACCATTACACTTCTTATGCATATGTCTGTACAAGGCAACAGTACTGTCTACTTAAAATTGCTGTCTTTTCTTTCAGAGTTAGTTACGCAGGGGATAACTTTGTTCGTTACAGTGGGGCTACCATTTCTATGGCACAAACTCAATGTAAGTACCATTTCTAGCATTTCTTCACACACTTTTTCACTTTAATTGAGTCTCTGTATTTGGAGATGGGGGAATTATGGATGTCTCTTTTGCAATGTAGAAGGAGATATTGGGGAGGGTATATAACAAGGATCAGTCACTATTCATGGCATTTCTCAAGGCAAATCATGCATTTAGAAAAAAAGTATCACTTGTACATTCCCCACCCATTAAAGGCTTGACAACCTTTCAGAGGTGAAAATGTGAGTGTATACTAGACTCAGTATATGATGTGATTTGGTCCCAGGATCCCCTGTGGATATCAAAATCTGTGGATACTCAAGTCCTATTACATACAGTGTCATAGTAAAATGGTTTACCTTATATAAAATGGCAAACAATTCAAATGAATGTTGGAAAGAGCCTGAGGATCTGTGAATGGTGAGAGATTACAGCAGTGTAGTGCTCAGCGCACAACAAAATCAAGACTGGTTTTTTGGATTTTTAATATATAATTTTGAGCTGTGGTTGGTGGAATCCATGGATACAGAACCCATGGATACAGAGGGCCAATTGCACATGCTTCCATTTGCTGTCTAAAGCATGTTGGCTGCAGAGAACAGCATGTAGTGGTGTGATCAATCAGTCCTTTAGGGAAAGGAGTTCACCGTTTGCTTCCCTTCAGCATAAAGTGGGTTTCTGATACCCACATATCCTCCAAACTGAGATTTGCCTCTTAAGCTGGAAGCGGGAAAGACCTTGGAGAAGGCACTTTCTCCAAACCAATGCACTTTTGTCTCCCAGTCCCTAGAGTAGAAAAGAATAACCTATTATACAGGATTATCTCAACAGGAACCTCCAATACAAACTATGTTGCTAAGTGGGGAAAATGATGTAGAGCACAGCAAAGAGAAGGTGGTTCTTCTTTTAGTGTTGCTTCTCCTCCACAAATGCTTCTTGACCTCAGAATACTAACCATGTGACCCTTGGAGACTCACCCCACACAGCCAGCTCTGAGGACAGCAGCCAGTGTTGGAACAATGCCCATCTTATATATCTGTCTGTCCACCTCAGAAGAACTGAATATATTTCCTTATTCTAACCTCCATAGTATTTGCCTGGGAGGCCTATGAAAAAGGTTCTGAAGTTCATCTCCAGGCAGACCCTACAAAACTAGAACTCTTGTACAAATCCTTCAAAGTGAAGAAAGAAGACTTTAAGGAGCAGCAGAAAGAAAGCATCCTAGAGAAGGTAGGTGCTTGGTGATCATGGAGATGTCTTTTTAGCAAAAGAATGTGCGTATTTTAGCATTATAGTATAGTTCTGGGGAAAAAATGAAATGACAAAAAATATGGTTTTTCAATGGAATTAATTTATTATGATTTTGGACAGGAAATCAAGATACAGTTCTAAACTTCAGGTGCATTTACTGAAGAAAAAATATGCTGCTGTATTGAGTGAATTATATTGAATGAATAGACGTTTAGAAGAAGCCTATCTTAAAGAAAATCCAGACATAAATAAAAATGCTGTAGGTGTTTGTAGTGCATGTTGACTAGAACTTTACTAAATATTTGTCAACATTTCTTTTCCTAGTATGGTGGAGAAGAACATCTGGATGCCCCACCATCTGAATTACTGCTTGCTCAGACAGAAGATTATGTGGAATATTCTAGGCACGGAACAGTCATTAAAGGGCAAGACAAGGCTGTTGCTCGCTCTAAATATGAGGAAGATGTTCTGATCAACAATCACACGGTACAAGAATTTTTAAATAAGGCTGGGTTCTTAGGGAGTTTCCTGCTGCCTTGGCAGGTGATCCTATCAAAAGTGATTTCTAAAATAGTGAAATGACATGGCTTGGGTCCAGGTTGCTTGAAGGACCATCTCTCCCTTTGGAAGCCCATTATAGCTGTAAGATCCTCTGAGGAGGGCCTTCTCTCTGCCCCACCACCCTCTTGTGCGAACACAGGAGAGGGCCTTTTTGGTGGCTCCTCCCAGACTCCTGAACTGCCTCCCAAGAGAGACCAGGATGGCCCCATCCTTGCTCTCCTTCTGCCACCATACTTTTAAACAATGCTGGGGGTGACACTTAATGCTGTGCAATGCTGTTTTTTCAGGTTTATACATAGTTCTTTGATCAGTTTTAACATCTTTAATATTTAAACCTAATAAAATATTTTTAAACCTTATATTTATATTTTGTTAATATTCTTGTACATTTATGGGTTTTCATTATGTTATTAGCCATTATTGGGAGAGAGGCAGGATATAAATAAATAAAACAATGACAACAGTGATGCTATGTTCCAAGTAGACTGAAAATGTGACTGTTGATTTTATAAATCTTCTATGAAGATTGATATTTTGTTTCTAAAAGATGTTGTACTTTTTACATTTGTTGTGTTTCTCTTGAAATATATTTATAAAGATGTTGAATTTGGCATTAGAAGCCGTTGTGATAATTTCTTTCTTTCTTTCTTCCCTACCTGTAGTGTATCTGGGGTTCCTATTGGAAGGAAGGCAAATGGGGGTATAAATGCTGCTACTCGTTTGTCAAGTATTCATATTGCACAGGAGAAGCTGGAAAAGAACTGGCTGTAAGAACTGTCTTATCTACTATATTTATAGGCTTCTAAATGCATTTCTTTAATTTAAAAAAAACCCAGCCTCACAATTGTTTCTCTTTTTTCATAAATCTAATTTCCCATCTCTGTTTCTTCTTTGTACAGAATGCTGATGGGGAATTGCCAAGTGAACTGCCTGAGGATGAGTATATGGCCATACCCAAAACTCTTGTAGAGGTAGGCTGCCTTTTTCCGCTGCCTCTTTCCCTTTCTGCAGGAGCCTGTCATGTGACAAAGAGTGGAACAAAGAGAGATATTACTTTAAGATGTTCGCTTGAGTTTGTTGATCAGTCTAGAGGTTAACATTTCAACTTTACAAAACTATGTATTCTTACATCCAAACACCTGGGAGGGTACTGAATGTAAAATGCAGATTTTAGTAGCTTTGCAATGTAGATGGGTTCAGTGCCTTTCTTATAGTGCTTATCCATTGCATTTGGCCTCATGGTGTTCTTCTGCACAGCTCTACAAACAATGTACTTAAAAGACTTTTGACTCAACCATGCTGGGGAGAGCCCCATGCATGTTATGAAGATGGATGTATAAACATTTCCTCAGCATGACATAGCAAATAAGAAATTAAGCAATTGGAAGCTTTATATGTATATTATACATGCAAACTCCATGCATCTTGGAGTACGCTATCCTCTGCATTATCTATTTTCTATTGTTGTCCTTTCTCACATTAAACAGATCCACCAGGAGAGACAAAAAGAAGAGAAGAAGAAGAAGAAAAAGAAGAAGAAGCATAAGAAGAGCACAAGTTCTGACAGTGAGGGAGAAGAGAGAAAGAAACAAGAAAAATTGAAAAAGGTATGCTTTCGATAGCCACGCACCAAATGCATGTGTCTCACACATAGTTGAGCCCCTTAGGTGCTTTCCTTACCTTCGAGAAAGATCTAGGTGGGTTGAATGCCCACCTCAAGTACCCAGGTGATTATCAGTCATTGAATTTGTAGGGGATTCTGGCAGTCAAGAATTCAAGCACTGCTGTTTAGGTTCTTACATTTCTTTCTTTCTTTCTTGTAGAGGTTGATCAGAGATGTCCTCTTCTCTAAACTTCTGTGATGAGACCTTTGCCACAATGTATAGATGCATTGGCTAGTTGCAAAATAGACAGTTCATCTTGGGTTGGAGGGGGGTGGTAGTAGCATATATTTAGAAATGGCCATTGTGAAGTGTGCACAGAAAGGATGAGTTTCCTTTTCCTTTTCACTTGCCCTTGTAGCCTCCTTCATGATGTGGGCTGTTGACCAGTGACTGATATTCTAGGCCACATCCAGCCCATAATGGGCAACTTGGCCTTTTAAATACAAATAATTCTGTATTGTTGAAGGCTTTCATGGCCGGGATCACTGTGTTGTTGTAGGTTTTCTGGGCTGTATGGCCATGTTCTAGAAGCATTCTCTCCTAACATTTCGCCTGCATCTATGGCAGGCATCCTCGGAGTACCTTACAACCTCTGAAAATGCCTGTCATAGCTGCAGGCGAAACATCAGGAGAGAATGCTTCTAGAACATGACCATACAGCCCGAAAGACCTACTACAACCCACAAATACCTCCCTGTATATTTTTCCATATTTTTTTCTTGTCTTTCAGTGAACAGTCACTTTCTCTGTTGGTTCTTTCCATGACTTTGCTCATTTCTGTAAAATGTTAACCTTCCAGGCTCTGTTGTTAACACTGTTTGGGATTTATGTTCCAGGCATTAAATGCGGAAGAAGCTCGTCTCCTTCATGTGAAAGAAATCATGCAATTAGATGAGAGAAAGAGACCATACAACAGCATGTATGAAAGCCGGGAACCAACAGAGGAGGAAATGGAGGCTTACCAAATGAAGCGCCAGCGACCTGATGACCCTATGGCTTCATTCCTGGGACAGTAGCTTTGAGGAAAGAACTTGAAAATGATGTTACATTTCATGACCAAATGGACAAACTGATTTCCTCAGAATGTTTCTGAGAGAAATGATCTGGGGTTGGGCCAGGAAAAAAACTTTTAGTGTACAGCGTTGTTCTTTGTATATATCTGAACCTTTTAGCACCCAGTCAAATTCAGTGTGGCACACCTCCTGTTCAAAACCATTGTGCTAAGGATTTTCAGAAGATACTGCCCATCGAAGGTGTCATCTCAAAGAGAACAAAGAAGAGATCTGTAGCTTCTGATTAACATTTGTCTGGTAACCCATTCCTGGGCAGAGATTATATTGAACTAATGTAAAACCTGTAAATCTGCTGAATTGTGGAAACTGTTTTTAATCAAAACAAATATAGCCACTTTTTTGAAACCATTCTTTGTAAAGCTTAGCTGTTGACAGCTTTTCCTTAGACTTCAATTTAATATTCCAAACATCTTAAGAGGTTCAAAGAACTCTGTCTTAAACAGATTGTGTATTCTGTCACATTTTTATTCTTCTTTCAAAACATCTTATAATTTGGGAATTACCGTCTTCCTGCCTGGATATATATCTTCCTACACACATCACATAGGAGATGGCTCCTAAACCACCAAGTTCTGTACATTTAAACATTGAGTGGGCCCCCTGGTGATGCAGCGGGTTAAACTGCTGAGCTGCTGAACTTGCTGACCGAAAGTTGGCGGTTAAAATCCAGGGAGCAGATGAGCTCCTTCTGTTAGGCCCAGCTTCTGCCAACCTAGCAGTTTGAAAACATGCAGATGTGAGTAGATCAATAGATAACTTTCAGGAAGGTAACAGCAGTTCATGCAGTCATGCTGGCCACATGACCTTGGAGGTGTCTACTGACAATGGAGCTAGACGCATCTTTTCACAAACCTTGGGTTTGGTTATGATTTCTTCCCACATGTGCTTTTTAGGAAAAATTCCTGGGTTCTTAAAACTTTGCTAGGCATAAGTGTTCCCCTTGTTACCATATCAATAACCTATCCTGCCATAATGATTTTTAGGAAAGTCCATCTAATAATAGGGTTTTAATACTTATGGCTCTAGATTGAACCTATATTATTTATTTATTTATTTATTTGCCATATTTATACCCTGCTATTCTCACCCCAAGTGGGACCTTACACATCGGCAACAATTCAATGCCTAAAAACAACACATACAATTAAAATAAACATTTACATTAACAATCAAAAATTAAAACATCTAAACATTACACCAATTATTAAAACCACACAGTCCAAGATCATAATCCGGAGTTATTCCAGTTGTCATTGCACAAAGTCCATATTCAGTTACTGCAGTTACTATCGGAAAGCCTGTTTTTCAATATCAACAAAAAATTGTCAAATCCACCAACTATATTCCATTTCTTATGATTTGTGAAGTAACACTTCATTTGGAAGACATAAGGACACACTGGCATAGAGAGAGTGAGGAACAGAGACCAGGGAATGCAAACCAGGCAGCATTTCTGTGCATAGTCAGATCTACTAAAGAGTTGTACTTCAGATTCATGACATAGTAATGAATAGAAATACAATCTGTCCAATATTTATTTATTTATTATTTATTATGCTTATATACCGCCCCTCTCAGCCTGCAGGTGACTCAGGGTGGTTTGCAGTCAGCACTAAAAACATGAAATACTATTAAAACAGTTAATATAAACTACTTTGATATTGAGAGAGATCTCAGATCATAAATGAGAATTAAATGCACTGATAAGCCAACTTTGATCCAATGAAGTAGTTCTTAATCTTTTCCTTATGGGAGACCGCCGTTAAAAATATTTGGTTGCCTTCAGAGTTAAACCCTTAAAATGCATAAAATTGTCATTTAAAGTTGTTCCTCGTGGGTTTTAAAATTTGGAGAAAAGGAAGAAATAAGTAAAGGCACACCCATTATTATAACAAAAACACCTGGAAAGACACTCGCGTTTCAGGAGCCAAGGCAAAGACTGGCTGGAAAGCAGTTAATGGATCAGACACACTTTGCATTGACCAGCTTCTGTCTCAGCTGCCTAACAAATTTCTGCCTTTTGTGAAGACCCCTTCACTAACCCTCTTTACCTATGTGTCAGTGGTGTGGCTTGGTTTGGTTTCACCCCAGTCATTAATGTATCAACTCCCAGGGAGGCAGGAACCACACAGCTCCCAAAGTGGAAGCCCGAAGCAGAGAGAGGCATCTGGTCTTTGCCGCGTCCCTATCCCTAGAGCAAAGATAGGGGCAGGACCCCCTCCCCTCAGACGGTGCCAAAGACAGAAGAGAGAGGTGCAGAGGAGGAGGAGGAAGATAAATCCCTCCCTGTTGTCCCTATAAGAGCTCAAGGTCAAAGGGAGGGATGAAAAGAAAGATCCGTCAAAAAGGAAGATGACAAAATAAATAAAATCTCTTTCCCTGAAAAAAGGGAAGCAAGGGGCAGGGAGGAAGATGGCTGTGTCCCTGGTTAATGCTTTCCCACATGTGCCTGCCATACCAGTTTGTCTATTGCACTTCATCTCTTCCACGGTGTCTGCTGTCAGTGGAAGCGCCAGGACTCTGCCTGCAGCAGGTTGAAACTGGGCAATGGAGTGAAAGGGACCCTGCTGCCAATTTACAGTGAGACTTGGTTTCTTCCCTGTTGTCATGGTGATGATGATAATACTTTCAATATAACTTTCTCAGCTTCCAAACCAACTCAAAGCTGAGCAGAAATACTCTTGCTCCCTGGCAAGAGTTGCCTACACACACATACTGTTGGGTTTGCAAGGAAGCCATGAATTGGATGGGATGGAGGCGTAAGAAAGGGGTCCACTGCTGGGTGATGGTGGAGAGCCAGGGAGGAGGTCTCATAAACACACACACCTTTCTCCTTGGCTAAGGAACAAGAGTGGGGCAGTTTCCCCAGCATGATCCTGGGAGAGAGCAGAAAGCAATTCTGTTATTTCTGTTTCAGTGTCCTAGACCTTTTATCATGTTTTCCCCCATCTCTCTTGTTTTTACTTGCTCATTTTCTAGAAATCAACATGCCAACTTTTTTCTGGCGAGTCCTTGTCTTTTTCATGTTCTTTCTCTTGCATCCAAATTCAGATTCTTATCCCTCTTCTCTCACTTGATCTGACGACTGCCGTCTCCTCTCCACTGCCTTTGTCAAAACATTGGTTCAGATAATAATGATGTCTTCTGTTCCCCTAATGGCCGCAGCCCTCTTCCATTTAACCTTGCTACCCAATATGGGAATTAGCTTGTGTTTGGTTAACTGGTTTAGTGCAACTTTTAAAGAAAGAGCAGAAGAGGTCAAGCAGAAAAAGAGGAAGTCGTGTCCTACATGCAGCCTACTCTTCCCCCACCCTCCTGTGGTTTATGGGGCCTTTTAAACCACTAGAACAGTGGTTCTCAACCTGTGGGTCCCCAGATGTTTTGGCCTTCAACTCCCAGAAATCCTAACAACTGGTAAAATGGTTGGGATTTCTGGGAGTTGTAGGCCAAAACACCTGGGGACCCACAGGTTGAGAACCACTGCACTAGACTCACTAGACAGATCTCGAAGGGTTGGACTCCTCTGGTAAGCTTGCAGGAGTGGCACTTCACCTTTGCAACAGGTTTCAAGACCCCCTACACTAATTTAATTTAAGTACTTATTTTTCAAAACCAGAAATGGCTTCTGACCTGTTTTGATGGTTGGCCTTCTCAGCCATCTGGGCCGCTCCCAGACAACCAGCCCCTGGGACAATACATGGGCACCCAGAGCCACCCACGGGAATTGCCCATCTCTACAGTATAATCTGTAGACACAAAATTCCACTCATCCCTTTTCCTCCTCTAAGCAGCATTGCTGGAGCCCCCGGTGGCACAGTGGGTTAAACCCCTGTGCTGACAGGACCGAAGACCGACAGGGGAGAGCGCAGATGAGCTCCTTCTATCAGCTCCAGCTCCTCATGCAGGGACATGAGAGAAACCTCCCACAAGGATGATAAAACATAAAAAATATCTGGGCGTACCCTGGGGAACATCCTTGCAGACAGCCAATTCTCTCACACCAAAACGACTTGCAGTTTCTCAAGTCACTCCTGACACAAAAAAAGCAGCATTGCTTCCATTCTTAAAGATTAATTTGTTTAGCAAAATTAATTAAAATAAACAGCAGAACTTGCTAGTCTTTTTTAAAGTAAAGTTACAAACTGAGAGAAGCATCACCAGTCTATTTTTTCAAGTCTTTGAATTAATTGCTCAGAGCCCAAGACATGTCTCATTTTCTAATATATTTTAAATATATTGTCAAAGACTTTCATGGCCAGAATCACTGGGTTGTTGTAGGTTTTTCAGGCTGTATGGCAATGTTCTAGTAGCATCCTCTCCTGATGTTTCATCTGCATCTATGGCAGGCCTTTTCAGAGATTGTGAGATCCTCACAACCTCTGAGGATGCCTGCCATAGATGCAGGCAAAACATCAGGAGAGAATGCTTCTAGAATGTGGCCGTACAGCCTGAAAAACCTACACAACAATCCATATTTTAAATAGGTCTCAAGGCAGGTTGATACTGTGCAACAGTCTGGTGCATTATCTTTACTCTGGAAGAAAACGAGCAGAAACTAGAACAAATGAGCCCTATTTCCAGCCTAGCCTGTTTTCTTTACATTCACAATCTAAGTCTCTTTTTATAGGCTCAGTTAGCATTCCCAGGAGAGGCTGTTATTGCTACTCTTGGTCTTCTTGAAGTCTGAGAAAAATCAGGAAAAGACATTTAGTTGTAGTAATGAACTAAGAGCAACTGGGATCTGGATGGCCTCATAAAATCATATGTAATCTTTGCCTATAATTTTGTTTATGCTAAAAATAAATTATTTAGAATATGTTGTCTCTAGGGAGGCTGCACAAACATTCCCAGATTGCAGAGGAACATCAGGCCAATACAAAATATGCATGGTATTCCTTTTTGAAAACCCAAAGACTATCATCCTCAAATCTCATGAGGATGTTTGGACAGCCTAATAAATGTTTGTTTGTTTGTTTGTTTTCCCTGTATTCATTCAGTTTGTATTCTACTTTTCTCCCACTTTAAGGGTCCAATCAAATTACAATAATTTAAAAAATCAGCTAAAATCTTATTTTATAATAGTTTAAAAAGTGTTTTGGACTTCAATTCCCAGAAATATGATATGATAGCTATGTATAAATATGTGAGAGGAAGCCACAGGGAGGAGGGAGCAAGTTTGTTTTCTGCTTCCCTGGAGACTAGGATGTGGAACAATGGCTTCAAACTACAAGAGAGGAGATTCCACCTGAACATGAGGAAGAACTTCCTGACTGTGAGAGCCGTTCAGCAGTGGAACTCTCTGCCCTGGAGTGTGGTGGAGGCTCCTTCTTTGGAAGCTTTTAAACAGAGGCTGGATGGCCATCTGTCAGGGGTGATTTGAATGCAATATTCCTGGTTCTTGGCAGGGGGTTGGACTGGATGGCCCATGAGGTCTCTTCCAACTCTTTGATTCTATGATTCTATGAAATTCCAAGCAGCTTACTGGCTATTAGGAATTGTGGGAGTTGAAGTCCAAAACACCTGAAAGGCTGAAGCTTGCCAATACCTGTTGTAGATAGTTATGCAAATAGGAAGCTGTGAAAGGGCCCTGTTTGAATCACTATATAATTTGTAAACAAGGCAATTTATCTTGTCTTTTCATTTCTTTTTTGAAGTGTGTGGGGCTAAAAGCAGAATCTGGAAAAGTTGAAGAAACTTCTGCTACCTTAAAGACATGTTGCAATTGCAACAACCAATTCTTTTTGTGGGCTACAGTCCATTTCATGATATGCATGACATGCCTGAATCACAATTCTTTTTACATGTGGCACTGCTGGGGATTGCCAACAGAGAAGAAAATATGAGAGCACAGCGGTTGCACATGTGTGCATGCTCTCTTTTGTAGTGTGAAGCATGAATTCCTGGTACACCTGTTCTTCACCAGCTGATTACTAATGTGGGAGCAAGAGGGACCAGTTTGATGCCTATTTGCTTGCCATGAACATTTATTTGTATACAGTGATACCTTCCATTCTAGCCTGCTTAACATTTTAAAGTGCCTCCTTTTCAACTTCAAAAATAGACATCAGGTCACTTTTTTCCAGTTTGTACCACCCTTAAAAAGGAAAAAGGAAGAGGGGCCGACCAAGGGCAAGATGGATGAATGGCATCCTTGAAGTGACTGGACTGACCTTGAAGGAGCTGGGGGTGGTGACGGCCGACAGGGAGCTCTGGCGTGGGCTGGTCCATGAGGTCACAAAGAGTCGGAGACGACTGAACGAATGAACAAAAGATAAGTCTATCATGGGATTTTCTGGGGCTGAGAAAGGGTCTCTTACAAAGATTACCTAGTTGATTCCCATGGCCAAAACCTGGCCTCCAGAGTTGTAGCCCAACATTCAAACCACTACACCACACTGGTTCTCAAATCCCACATTAGTGTTATCCAAGCACACCAGACGACAGATAAGGAATTCCATGCCCGGTGAGCTTCCACTAAACCAGATTAGCCTAGGATGCAAGTAACAGCAATGCACTTTGAAATGCATACATTCACAGAAAAATACAAAACATTTTATGCAGTTCTGATAGCTATTCAGATTTCCTGTGCCTCCTCCTGATTGGCTGAGAAACCGTGTCAGTTAGGATTCACGCAGGAATTGGCAGGAGGTTTTGCTGATGTCACTAACAGAAGGAGGAGATCCCTGTGGATGGGAAGAAGCACAGCTGATAGTTGATCAGTTTAAAGGTCCAGTCTGTTGCAGACTCACCTTTGGGAGGGCGCAAAACTGGGGGAAGTGATGATGTGAGTATGCAGATGATTCCTTGGTTAACTTAAGTGTCCAGTTCCAAGGAGATGAAGGTGAAAAACCCAAACAACCTGGGGCTTGGTTGCCTTTTCAGAAGACTAATGTATTCATATTTGTTTATCCTTCTCTTCTGTGGGAATGACAAACCTCCAACTCTTAGTTAAATAGGAAAGCATCTTAAGCTCATCTTGGTGAGAAAAAGGATAATCTGGTTCACACACACACACACAAAACGGGTTTGACTTTATCTGGCTTGGGATATTGCCAGAAAGATCTTTTGTTACTTATGTAGCAATCTCTGTTCTCAGGAATTTATGCAAGCAGGGGACATGGTGACAGCAGATGCCTTCAGGATACGTCTGATACAAGTTTATACACTTAGACATTGATACAGTATAATAGCATAACACAAAAGGTATAAGTTTTATACATTTAATGAAGGGTTTAGATTTGGTAGAGTTCAGAGTACAGCTGCTTCTGGGCCCTACCAGAATGTCCAGTGGCTTCAACATTTCAAAACTTTGAAACTGCAGAAAATGTTTTAAAAATGAAGAAAAAAAACATATTTCTCACTTGAAGACTTATTTGTTCATAAATCTTTTGGGGAGGGAGGTGCCGTGACTCAACAACAATACTTCAATGATTTCAGATGGGACTATAAGGGAGGCCTTAGCCCATTTTGTTTATCACTTTATCTTCTGGGGGCAGGGAGATTAATATGAATTTTCTTGGGAGATGCGATTCTGGATGTTACCCCAGTAAATGTCTGCACTTAAAAATGTACATTGCCGGCTTTAAAATACATTTCTTTATGGGTGGAACTGTAAGCAAACTCTCTGCCGCACCCTGGTTGAAATTCAGCCCCCTTGCCAGAATTCATCAGATGTTCCCTTACTTTTGTGAAAATGACTCAGGACTCAAAAATATATGCTGACTTTTAAGAATGATCCTGCTTGTGGGTCACCTGTTGACCGTACATGCCCCATATCTTGTAGTAGCTTTTCTTTGATTTTATATGCTGTGCTCTGTTTGCAAAAAAGAACAGGCAAACCCTGATCCCTTTTAAGCCTTTGAGCTGCAACAGCATCGGGAGGAAATTCTTCCAAGTATCTGTAGCCGTCCAAGCATTTCGGGCACATGTGTGCAAAGTTTTCTTCCCATCTCACGTGACATGAGGCAGAAGCTCAAATACATTACACAATAATCAAAATATGCCTCTGGCAAAGTGAAGCCAAAAGAAGTGAAGCTGTTGCGAAAAAAAGTGGGAAGAGGGAATGCAACTGAAAGGCATTGACTTTGACGGACTTCAAGGAAGACATCTGAGAATGCAGAATTTCAAGCCCTCCCTTTAAAAGAAGCCCAGTTTGCAGCACGAACAACGAATCCCAGGAAACTGGACAACAGAGTGCCACAGTTGAACATCTGTTTACAATTCAGCAGATTTTCTGGTCGGATGTCAAGAATCACTACCTTCTTCAAAAACGTTTATGATCGTAAGTAATATTTTAATGGGAGTGTTTTTAAATATTTTCTAAACAAAGCTATGCTGTTTGCATAGACACAAATCCACTTCCAATGTACTTTACTCTTAAACTAGTGTGCTTACGACTCTAACCTTACAATGTTTAATTTACTGAAGAACCTAGATCAAAGCATTAGTTCAAGATATTGGCTGCCTATGCAGCTAATGCAAATTTTCTTTTAAACAGAAAAAGATCTCCTATCAAAAAATATACTGAAGGTTGAATATCAGAGGGCTACCTGCTGCTAAACTCCAAGTGTTGAAATTGGAAAAAAGAGGCCACGTTTGCATTCTAGCTTCTTGCTGAACTCCAGCAGACAATGACTTCCTTTTTATACTTAATGACATCAGACAACTTGAAGAACTAGCTTTTTATACTAACTTTAAGTCCTCACAGTTCCCACAAGACAAATCCAGCCTAGAAAGCCATTTATCATTTTGAGAAAAGTACCCAAATATTACATGGGGGATTGCCATCACCACTTCATTAGGATATAAATTTTAAAAATGTAACTTGGACTTTGGGATGTAGATTAATAAAACAGTTTTGTTTGAAACAGAGGAATTAGTTTCACTTCTCTACCAAAAAAAGACCTAAAGGGGGAAGAAATGCAGATAACTTCTTTGTCTTTAAACCACAGAATCCTTTGTCTCAGAGGAATGCAATTGTTGTTTTTCCTTGGTATATAGCTTAATTTCCTGATATGGTAGGGTGGAAAACCAAAGTTTTGTTGTGCCAGGTGAACTGGCACATTCATTTTATAATCACCTGCTTGACTTTCTCCCTCATCAATGGTAAGGGTGGGCAATCTCTGACCCTCCACATTTTGTTGAACCTTAAGAGTCATCTTCAAGTCATTTCTGATTTACAGCAATGCAAGGTGAGCCTATCAAGATTTGGCAAGATTTGTTCAGAATGGGGTTTGTTTTTGCCTTCCTATGAGGCCGTGAAAGTGTGCCTTGCCCATGCTATTGATAGATTTCACAAAGCAGTTAGTCTGTTGCTGAAATTAAACCTTGGACATGATCAGTGACTTGCATGTTTGCACAGAGGCCTTTTAGGAAATTATGCCTTCAGAAATGGGTGATTCATAACTCCTGGTAGTACATGGCATCTTTTTTAGGTCTGCTGGTTCCCACTACTTCCAGCTGTACTAGTTACAGCCTCAGTAAGAAAATAGAGTTCACACAATGGGATCTGAAAACACCATCTATTTCTTCCCCTTCTGATATGGTTCATTTCCACACACCAAATTCCTTTCTGTATATAATCTAGCAATGTGTTTGAGGGTTCAGGTGGGGGCGCCCTTGTTCTGTGGCAGTATTTTCATTCAGTCCTTTAATATGTATTTCTATGGCCCTGGCCCCATATACATTGTCATATAATGCAGTTTCAAACTGCATTATATGATCAGTGTAGAGGCGTATAATACAGATTATTCTACACTGACCATATTATGCAATTTTAAACTGCATTATATCGCAGTGTAGTTGGGGCTTATGTCTTTGTGTAGCCTCCGAAATCTTCCAGATTTTGACCAAAGCAAGGATAATTCTTTGTTTGTTTCACTTACCTACCAAAAAGACCCGGTGGGGGAGGGAATGCAGATTACTTTAAACAAAACATACGATCATTTTTCTCTTAGAAAGGCAATTGTTTCTCTTGTTACATAGCTTAATTTGCTTGGTATGGTTGGATGGAAAATCAACAAAGACCTGTTGCGCCTTATAAATTGTCATATTTCCTTTATAATCAACTTGTTGGTCCGTCCGTCCATACATCCATCCATCCATCCCACCCAATGGCAGGGGATAGTATCAATGTATTCTGAACATCCAATTATTTCAAGTGGTATACAGGACACTTGCCGTTTCCAGGAGTAGATGTGTTGATTAGGGCGCATCCACACAGCACCCAAAATGCACACGCTCACGCACTTTTACCTTTTACAAAACAATGCCTCAGGTAAAAGTGAATTAATTCGGGACAAAGCAGGAACCATAGCACCCAGGGCTTTCCAGGTGTGGGCCCTGTGTGGATTGGACTGGGGGATCGCATCATGTGACTTCTGGGTCCAATCCAAACAGCTGTGTTAAGGTTGCTGTGCTCGTGGAGCCTGAAAAACCCAAAACAACACCCACCCCATACCCCCCACCCCTAAAAAGAGCTTTAAAATTACTTACCCGACTGCCATTAAAGTGATGATGGACCTCTTCTGGCACTTAGAAATGATGCGCCAGGAGAAGGGGGGAGAAGGAAAATCACCTATTCCTGCCCATATTCTGTTCAAGTCACTCCCCACTAATCCAAAATTATTCTTGTGAAGGGATAAGTCCAGTTTTATTTTACTATGATTAACACATCTCCCAAACTCTCTTAGCAGAAAATTATATCCATGTGTATTTTGCCTTTAAAGGTAAAAGTATTGGAAAGGGGAAGAAAACACCCACACATTTTCCAAAACATTCTTAAAAGCTGACATTTTCTGGAATGAATTTTACACTGCTAAGGGAAGGAATTCGGAGATGAGAAGGAAAAGAATGTAAAGATAAAGACAGAGAAGCTGTATAACTGTTGTCAACTACACAGCAGAAAGCCCCAAGCAAGTAGGAAACACCCTCAACCCATTAAAATTGTTCTATAATGTTCCACACTTTTGAAAGATTCTCTCTCTCTATTTTTTTTTGTGGCAAAAAAAGCTTTTTGAAACAGAGATTTGAATTTTTGCAGCTATTAAAGTTACAGAATATCATCCAAAACACAAACACAACTTCTACACTGCCATATAATCCAGAATATCAAAGCAAATAATCCACATTATCTGCTTTGAACTGGATTATCTGGATCCACACTGCCACATAATCCAGTTCAAAGCAAATAATCTGGATTTTATATGGCAATGCAGAAGGGGCGAAAATGAAACATGGAAGTCCGAAAATTTTCATCAGTGCCTTGAGGCCGTTACTGGATGGTTGCGTGCCAGCAGGTTGAGGGTGAATCCAGCGAAGAGGGAGATCCTTTGGCTGGGCCGTCCGGGTGGGAGGGAGATCCAGCTGCCTACCCTGGATGGCGAGACACTACGTCCGTCATCTTCTGTAAGAAGCCTTGGTGTCTTATTGGACCCGCTGCTGACAATGGAGGCCCAGGTCTCTGCTGTGAGCAGATCTGCGTTTTTCCACCTATGTCACGCTAGGCGACTGGCTCCCTTCCTATCTAGGAACGACCTGGCTACAGTGATCCAGGTGATGGTCATCTCGAGGCTTGACTACTGTAACGCCCTCTACATTGGCCTTCCTTTGTCAGTGATCTGGAAACTGAAGCTGGTGCAAAATGCGGCGGCTCGTCTTCTCACCGGGGTGCCGGCGAGGTGTCGTATCACCCCAATTCTCCAACAGCTGCACTGGCTTCCGATTGAGTACCGGATTACTTTCAAGGTGCTGATACTAACCTTAAAGGCCTTATATGATCTGGGGCTGGCGTACCTGAGGGCCCGCTTATCCCCCTACCAACCCCAGAGATTATTCCGGTCTGAAGACCAAAATTTGCTTGCAGTCCCTAACATCTGGACCTATCATTTCTCATCTACTAGGCATAGAGCCTTCTCGATTGTAGCCCCTTATTTATGGAATGCCTTACTGGTTGAAACTCGAACCATCCGAGACCTACTTGCTTTTCAGAAAGCCTGTAAAACTTTTCTTTTCCGACAAGCTTTTGATGGGTGAAAACTCGGGGCTATGTCCATCCTCGCTGCTTATTGTTATTTTAAAGCTAATTGTATTGTTTTAATCTGCTTCTGTAAACCGCTCCGAGCCAAATTTGGAGTAGCGGTATACAAGCTAAATAACTAAATAAATAATAAAATTTATTTATTTATTTATTTACTGCATTCATATCTTGCCCTTCTCACCATGAAGGGGACTCAGGGCAGCTCACAACAAAGGCACAATTGGATCCCTAGAATACATATAAAAATAACAACATATATTTTGAAATCACATACTTAAAACATATCACTTAAAGCAATTACTTCAAATCAAAGAGTCAAAACACATATTCCAGGAGCCATACCTATTGTCATTTGCATTGTTCATTATTGCACTGAGAGGTCACTGGGAATTGTTGCACTAGGAATCATTGTGCAAATGCTTGGTCCTACAACCATGTCTTCACTTTCTTTCTGAAGGCTAGGAGGGAGGGAGCCTATCTAATTTCCCTGGAGAGAGAGTTTCATAGTCAAGAGGCCACCACCAAGAAGGCCCTGTCTCTCGTCCCCACCAGTCGCGCCTGCAAGAGGGGGGGCGGGATCAAGAGCGGGGCCTCCTCAGACAATCTGAACCTCCGAGATGGTTCATAGAGAGACTTCTTGTCTCAAGTGAAAATTTTGGGAGGCTTCAGAGCAGTATGCAACACCAAGAAAGCAGGTGGGATTTGCATGCCTTGTGCTAATAATTGCCAGCGCTTCCAGAAGATTTCCAGGAGTGATGTTTGCATTACAAACAACCCTCATGAAAAGGAGGTAGGAAGGGGGAGAAGACAAGAGTGGCAGCATCTTTGAGACTCACTGGTTTTTATTTTCCCATGAGATCCCATGGATAAAAACTCAATTCTTCAGATGCAGTACTCAGAAATCTTGCATTCACTGGGGAAAAGAGAAAACAACAATGCCTTTATATACATAAACATAAATATCCTTCAAGTTTTATTTGATGCTTAGACCATAGGTCTTTTGCATATTAAGCAATCAAATAAATATATGAAAACCAGATTTTGTTGTTTATTCGCTCAATCGCTTCCAACTCTTCATGACCACTGCCTCCACGTTTTCTCCATCTATTTGCCAGTTATCAATCAGTTTTGTTGCCAGAATCTTGGTTTTTTTATGTTTAACTGCAACCCAGCTTTTGCACTTTCTTCTTTTACCTTGATTAGAAGGCTCCTCAGCTCTTCCTCACTTTCAGCCATCGAAATGG